TCTATGCTGTAGCTTGCTATGAGGGAGGGTGTGTTTCTCATGATGATGTCCGTGACTCTAGGACTTGGAAGCCTTGGTGATCTGAAACAAAGAAGACAACAGCCAAAAGGTGCACAGAAAAATGCTTGATACTTAGTGGTCAGGGTAGGGGGAGGGTTGCGAGCAGTTTAAGCATATATCCCAGGCGGAAGTGCCGCGTATATATATCCTTCCGGTCTAATAGGAGAACGGCAGTGGTTGGAGCGATTTGACAGCTGACCGCGTCAGCTGATCGCAGCCTATGCCTACATGGCCTGTCTGAACTAATGCTGTGCTCGATTTCTTTGAATTGAATTGAATTGAATTGAATATATAAGGTCCATGAACCAAATCCGTCTCGGCCAGCGTGGTGCTACTAGCAGTAGGCTTATTCCAGTCCGGCGGACTCTCTCCAGAACTCCGGGGAGCAGAGTGAAGGAAAACCAGAGTGGACAGTGCGTCGTGTTCTGAGACGCAAACAGATCCACTTCTGCTCGGCCATAAACTTCCCATATGTACTCCACCACCTCGGGGTGTCCTTGGAGTCTCCAATCCCCAATGGGGGAAATGCATACAGACGCAGCCTCGTCCACGTCTGTACCATAGCGTCCAGCCCCAGGAGTGAGGGAAAACCAGAGTGGACAGTGCGTCGTGTTTTGAGACGCAAACAGATCCACTTCTGCTCGGCCATAAACTTCCCATATGTACTCCACCACCTCGGGGTGTCCTTGGAGTCTCCAATCCCCAATGGGGGAAATGCATACAGACGCAGCCTCGTCCACGTCTGTACCATAGCGTCCAGCCCCAGGAGTGAGGGAAAACCAGAGTGGACAGTGCGTCGTGTTTTGAGACGCAAACAGATCCACTTCTGCTCGGCCATAAACTTCCCATATGTACAGGAGCCTAAAACCCAATCCCCTGGCCTCAGCCCCTGCCTCGACAGGATGTCTGCTCCTATATTCTGTCACCCTGGGATATACACTGCCCTCAGGGAGAGTATCTTCCCTAGGGACCACAGGAGGATCTGGTGCGCCAGTTTGCATAGTGGACGCGACCGCAGACCCCCCTGGTGATTTATGTAAGAGAACGGTTGTCTGACCGGACAAGCACATGATGGCCCCTCAGGTCTGGGAGGAAATGTCTCAACGCATTGAAGACTGCCATCATCTCCAGGCAATTTATGTGCCACGAAATATGATGACTCCTCCAGAGACCATGAGCTGAGCGGCCTTCCATTACCGCTCCCCAGCCAGTGAGGGAAGCATCTGTCGAGATAGCAACTCGATGGCAAAGAGCTCCCAACACTGGACCCTGGGATAGGAACCAAGGTTTTAAGGTTTCAACCAAGGAGACACCGCCACGTGATCTTGATCATACGAAGTCGGTTTCCCCTCGGGGAGAACCCTCTGTTCCTGAGCCACCACTGCAAAGGTCTCATGTACAGCAGCCCAAAGGGTATCACATTGGACGCTGGTGCCATGAGGCAGTCTCTCGAACTGTTTCACAGTGCCTGACTGGCCTAGCTTTAGCTCTTTCGTGGCTGTGAGGATAGCAGCTACACCAGCGGGTGATAGGACGGCTCACATCATGACTGAATCCCAGACCACACCAAGAAAAGTGGTCCTCTGTACTGGAGAAAGCATACTCTTCTTGGTATTGAGTCTCAACCCCAATTTCTGCATGTGTGCGAGGATGACATCTCGATGTCGAAACGCCAACTGCTCTGAATTCGCTAAAATCAGCTAGTCGTCGATGTAATTCAGAATGTGTATGCCCTGCAGCCTGACCGGGGCCAGAGCTGCATCTACGCACTTCGTGAACGTGAGGGTGATAGAGCTAGACCGAATGGAAGCACCCGATATTGGTATTCTTTGCCCCTGAAAGAAAACCTCAGGAACTTCCTGTGCTGAGGGAGGATGGAGACATGGAAGTATGCATCTTTTAGATCTATCGGGACAAACCAGTCCTCGGATTTGATTTGAGTCATGATCTGTTTGAGTTACAGCATCTTGAACTTGAGTTTTTTGACTGTACGATACAACAGATGAAGATCTAGTATAGGACGCAACTCCCCATCCTTTTTTGGAACAATGAAGTAGCGGCTGTAAAAACCTGATTCTCTGTCGAGTGAGTACACCTGCTCTATAGCCTCCTTCGCTAACAGAGCTTTCAGCTCTTGCTCCATTACCAGAGCCTGCTCGGGATGCACTAGCGTGAGCAACACCCCGTTGTAGCGTGGTGGACGAGAACCAAACTGAGTTCTGTATCCTCTTTCTACTATCTGCAGGACCCATTGAGATATGTTTGGCAGATTCTTCCATTCTGTCAGATAATCTACTAAGGGTACCAGCCTCTCGAGACTGGCCTCTGGTATAACTGGAACAGCCACTTCGATAGCCTGAAGTATACTGGCAGGAACCAACCAAACTGACTGTTTTTGAACCCCCCTCAGAGGGTGCGAGTTTAATGCAGCGTCGAGTTGACACTGAGCCATGTGCTCTCTGGAACCATGTGCTCACCCCGAGGCACCAAGGGTGGCGGGGTTGGCAGAACGGCCCCCTGAGGGTACCGAGATGGAACGGGATGGAACTGTATACTGAGGTGTACACAGTAGAACTTCTGTTGGCTTGGACCAGATGGGAAAGCCTCCGTTGCCCTCATGCATCGATGAGCCTTGGGTGCCCATTTTGCCGGTTTGTGGTTTGTCCTTCTTCGGACACTGTTGGTAAATTCTCACCACTGCTGACTGGGAACAACTCACAAGCCTTGCCATTTCAGAGATACTCTGACCCATTCGCCTTGCCAGATCTTTATTCCTGCTCATTTCTCCTGCACCCAACACACTGATTACGAGAATGATTGTTTGCTTATCATCTAATCTACCCAGACCGTAATATATGGCCTTGTTGGGAGATGATCAACGTTGTTCACTTCACCTGTGACTGATCATAATGTTTTGGCTCATCAGTGTAACATTTTAAGTAAAAATTACTTGTCAATTTTACATGTGATAAATTACTATATATATATATATAGTGTGTGTGTGTGAGAGAGAGAGAGAGAGAGAGAGAGAGAGAGAGAGAGAGAGAGAGAGAGAGAGAGAGAGAGAGAGAGAGAGAGAGAGAGAGAGAGAGAGAGAGAGAGAGAGAGAGAGAGAGAGAGAGAGAGAGAGAGAGAGTATTTTTTAATAAATTAACTTTTTATGGATTATGTTGTATGCTTTACTTTTAATTTATCTTCCAGATTTTGGACAGCAAATATGCAGGAAAAAAACGTAATCAACCCAGCTCTGACTATGGACAATCTCTATAACTTTCTAATTATGATGAGTGGTTGTCAATGCCACATCATCACAAGAAATGGCAGAAATGAATAGAATGATAATGTCAAACCACATGAAATATAGTTTTGTGGAATTGATCATATTCCTTTATGCACAAATGTTATATTAGCATTGCATACAGCAGCATTCTCCAAAATACAGCAAAAAAATGCCTGAAATACTTATAATGCATGTGTGCCAGCCTTAACCAGGCAGAACCTTAAGATCTTGATCTTATGCGTGCAGCGGATTTTCAATTCTGTGCTCTTGTTGTGTCCCATGTGGGAAGAACAGGTGCTCAAGAAGCAAAGAATTATGTGTGTTTTGGTACTTTTGTGATAAATAAGATGTGCGTTGGTTTAATCAATGCACACTGAGCTCTTCTACCAGCTGTCCATTTCTTCCTGTTTTCCAGACTTGTCATTCATAGCTCAGGTGAGCAGAATTCCCAATTAGCCTTGAGTCGCTAACGCTGTAATGAGGCCTATGATGTGCCGTGAGAGCTGAACGCAAGAATTCAACCACGTCTGAGTCTGAAATCTTTTGAGGGCTGAACATAATGTGGCTATGAAATAGCTGTTAGTGACTGTTGCTAGTCAAGCATTGTGCTGAAAACATTGGAGAATACATAAAGTGTAAACCACCTCGGTGGTCTGTGCTTTTACAGCCGTAGCATGCTGAGATATTCAAGGCTGTTATTCTTTGAACAGTGTCCTATAGACTGACTGGAGAGCTGCACGTAAGTCCAACGGTTTGAAATGTCAGGCCTGTCATAATAGTTGATGGTTGAAAATAATAATATAAAGAAATAATCTGATGGATAGGAAAGGCAAATCGTTTAATAAAATGTACTAACTAATAGCACCACTAATTAATGAATAATAAATAACACTCTGGCAGACTGCATGTAGGGGAGAGCACAACCTAACACTTTTTGACTTTCTCAGTTTGTGTCAATTCACTTGGTGTTCAGAGTATTTTTTTTTTTCCCACATGAACTTCCCACATGTCTAGTACAATTATGTGGTTTTGTTTCATTAACACAGTGTATACTTTTTTCTTGATTTACCCTGGAAAAAATGGAAGTGAAATGTATAAAAAACTAAAATACTACATCATACACATGTTCTACTATTTGATATGTATATTTAAATGACTTAAACCTTGTAAGATATGATACACGAATGAATGGAATAAGCACAGCAAGATCGCAAACCAAACAGCCGAGTTCTGTCTCCGTCCCTCAGAAACCAAACCAGCTCTCAAGATGTATATAGGCCTATACATTTTCTACTACTTCATATGTCTATTTAAACAAATTAAACTACTGTATGTATGATGTGATAGGCTACATATTTCTCACTCTCTCTCAGAGACGGAATTTATCCAGGTATATTCTTCATAATTTGTTTAGATTTTCATTTGTATGCATAGTAAAAGAAAAAAAAATGCAAGAAAATATATAAATAAAATTATAAATAAAAAAAATGTATATATACTGTGTGTATATATATATATATGTATATACTCTTATTTATGAAGCCGTGATGCATCACAGTTTAAACATATTTATCTGACTCATTTACAGTAAAAAGCTTTTGTAATTTATAAATGTAATTTACGTAAGTGATGCTAACCTGAGTTCTTTCTTTTCCCCCAGGTATCCCAAACAATCTTGGCACCTCTGGTAAGTTATTCACTAGTATTGTGTAATAAACATCATTTGTAATTCAAATCAATAAAAATACTTTCAAATGTATAACAGAATTTGAAAAATACTCAAACATCCTAATTGAAGGTATGTTGATAAAATGGACAGAAGTAACTGAAAGCCAGCTGTGAGCACTATATTATTAAATAATACTGAATAACTGTAAATACTTTAAATTAGAAACAAATTGATTCTTATTTTTCATTTCATCAAGTTCGGCCAAATGCTTCTTCACTTGGAGTTGCAAACCGAAATCAAGGTAAGACTTTCAGAAATTAATTATTTGTTTTAATGCCTGCAAAACAACCAACCACAGATTTTTTTTCCTGCGCCTCATACTAACAAAACGCCTTTGTTTCTGCTTTGATTTCCTCTGCGATTTCAGTCTAGCCTCAAATCTCAACAGACAAGAAGTCCGAGAAACAATTTTGTGTGACTCATCGTCTGTGGTTAGTTTGTTGTTAGGTTGTTAATAACAATGAGATGCTTGTGCAGAAAACTAGAGAAAAAAAAAGTTAAAAGTCATGGCCATGAAGTATGATTTGATAGTTGCTAATGTTATTCAGAGGCTGCTAAAATATATTTTGTCACTAACATTTAGATGGTCTCAAAGCTTAAGGATGAACTAAAAGCCACAAAACACAACTCTTTTGATGTTTATGGAGTGTTTAAGAAAAGAGGATTGAAAAACGGAAGGCTTCTCATTTTCGCCACCCCTGCTGATTATGAGTGACAGAGAGTGGTCTCTTTTCTGTCAGGACCAGAAGCAGAACAAAACAGAGGATTGTGGGAATCTGTCTGGTTGTTCTACACCCACATCTTCTAGGTCCAACCCCAGGGCAGCCAGTGGACAGCAGTGTTTAATGATGACCTCCTGGATAACTGGGTCTTCTGATAACCTTTCAATGTAATTAGTCTCAAGTATCTGAGAGAAAGATGTGAGGAATATATGAGACGGTGGTAGATTTACTGCACATGTATTGATTTTAGAGACTTCTGAAAATCAATGCATGTGCACAAAACGTACTCAGTTACTAACGTAACCTCGGTTCCCTGAGAGTAAGGGAACGAGTACTGCGTAGCTATACACTATGGGAAAACTCCTTTTCTTGAGAATATTGAAGCCTTTATTTTAAAACGCAGTGCAACTGCACAGCCAGCACAATGCAGAGCTGTCTAGCTCGCTGATTGGCTGGGCTGCGGGAACTGCACAAACCTATGGATAAGCGGCAAGGATGCGCGATCCTATCAGGCGCACCAGATTGGGCGTGGCTGATGACTATATAAGCGGCCCATTTTGCCATAGGAATCAGGTTAAATCGACTGAAGCGACATCACCCTGACGTGCAGCTTAGTAGCACGGCTGTCTACACAATACTCGTTCCCTTACTCTCAGGGAACCGAGGTTACATTAGTAACCGAGCACGTTCCCTTTCTAAGAACGTTCACTCGTTCCCTTTCTAAGAACGTTCACTCGTTCCCTTTCTAAGAACGTTCACTCATTCCCTTTCTAAGAACGTTCACCCTTTTTTCAGGTCAGAGCAACTGCCCCTCAAAATTCCTGCACGTCCCTGATTCTCAGTTTATGTAATCTGTATGAAAAGAGAGAGATGTCAGTCATTGTCATTTCAGCTCATTATAGCTCATTAAGTGTTAATGTGAACACGCCCACAGAGAGTGCGGGCTATTCAAAACGCAAATGATCTGAGACAACCCATGCAAACATGCCAACGCCCACATCAGCTGGATAAAACACATCAAGTTTAATCAGACTCATATACTTTAGGACGCTGTGAGGAATAATACTATCATAAAAATAATCAAGTGCCTTTTTAGTTTCACTTCGAGGAGCAACGGATCCAGCTCAGATGAAATAGTAAGTTCCCTTTCGTAGTCACTCCGAGTTACATCGGATGACGGAGAATGGGGGTTTCGCCAGAAAGCCTATCATCTTCGAGTATTAAAAAACGAGCCTATGGCAATGAAATGCCATGGGTCTGCGGAATTTGCATAATGTATCTCCGCCCCACCGCGTGGGTATTTAAGGAGAGACACCTGCAACAGCCGATCATGTTTTCGCTTCGGAGCCAAGAGCATCTCTTCACTCCTCAAGCCAAATCCTGAGTTTTCTCAGTGACTACATCTCTTCGAGACGAGCGAACTCTCCGGTGTTGGTTTTGATGGCGGTATCCAGCGAGTTTCACATTGCCTGCGAGCTGAGCAGTGGTCTGCCAGTCTGTGTGTTCTCCCTGGTCGCTTCAACATCTGCGGAGTTTTTCCTCTCACTAAAGAGCTGCACGCGGCACGTCTTTTTAAAGACTCGTCTTTCTAAAGACGATCTGCCCGTGTTTTTCTGAGTGTGGTATTCTGATAGATTCAGCTGATGGGCGCAAGCGCTGTTTTGAGTGTTTGGGCTTTGATCGCGCTCAGACAGGGAACGTGGGAACGTGACCATCGCAATGTAACGGTCGAGACTCGATGAGCTCAATGAGTGAGAGTCCCCTCATCCACACCCCGATCTATTTTTTTCCACGTGAGATAATACTTCGGCTGGTGGCCAGGGTGACCTAAGACGGCAGGTTTGGAACTAAACCGACAAAAAATTCCTCGGTCCACACCCCGTCTTTCACATTGCAACCTGCGTGGTCCCAGGTCTCATTCGGTCCCCCGGCTGATGAAATCATGTATCACCGCATCACAAGGTGAGCTGGAGTCCTCTAGAGATGATGGCTCGTCTGTGCTGCCGTTCTCGGATGTGCTAGCATAACGAGTTTGATCCAGAGTGCACAGCTATGCTTCCCGGGCTGCCGCGAGTATCGGGCTGGTGTGGAACCTTCTGCCATGTCCCGAGCACTTAAGGCTGTTGATGGGTTTTGGGGGTGGCGAACCCAAATCCATTCTACCCGGGCGTGCATGAAGAGATCATGAGATCGTGGAAGTCTCCTTGACTTTTCGCGACTGCTCAGTGGCCTCTTCCGCCTTCTCTGCCCTTGTAGAGGCCGCGGCCTAGGGTGCACTGGGGTTCCCCCTGTGGAGTGTTCTGTGGCAACACTTATGTGTCCCCACAGCGCCTCCACCTGGCGTGGCGACTCTTAAGCACCCCTCCAATCCTGTAGGTTCTTGTCTACTTTGGTGGCGGGGACCTACAGAGCTGCGGGGCAGGCTGCCACCTCACTGCGTGTTATTGCCATCCTCCTGGGTGTTCAATGACATGCACGAGGGTAGGGCTGATTCAGGGCTCATCCTTGAGCTGCCTGCCGTCACCGACCTTGCTCTCCGAGCGACGTAGGTGACCGCACGCTCCCTGAGTCAGGTGATGTCCACATAGGTGGTCAGACACCTCTGGCTAACCTGGTTGATGTGCGCGAGGCTGAGTGATTTCGTTTCCTCAACTCCCCCATATCCCAGGCTGGCCTCTTCGGCGGCGCGGTCGAGGACTCTGCCCAACAGTTCTCGGCCGCCCAGAAGTGGACTGTGGCTATTTTGTCTGACCTTGCGGCTTTGCTGCCTCCAGCTGCCGGCTCAGACGCCTCAGTCCGCTTGCTGCCGAATGCGCCCTCCTGCGACTTCCGCCCCCTCCCGCCCGGCCCCCAGCAGCACCGGGCCGCGCCGTGGAGGTGGTCGCAGGAAGGCGCCCCTGCCCGTACCGGTCCCGCAGCCCCGCCAAGGCCAGGCTTGCGCCGCTCCCGTTACGGGCAGCTCAGATGTGGGTTGCAGTTCTTCAGGGAGTGGTTGCAGGGCCACTCCTTCCCCCGGTGGAGGGCTGGGGGAGAATCTTTTCTAAACCAAAGAGCTGCATCCCATCTCTGAGCCCTCAGAGGGCCGGACAACAGTGCGCGACGCTCCCGGGCCTTGCCGCTCTCGTCCCCCTCTGTCTCTGAGGGCGCGGATGACAGTGTGTGCCGTCTCCGGACCACACCACTCTCGTCCCCCTCTGTCGCCAGACCCCTGGCAGAGCAGACCCCCGTGGAACGCTGGTCCTTCCCTGGTCTCCTCTGTCAGGACGCGGAGCATGACCGTGCCCCCGCACCGGGCCGCTATGCCACCCACGCCTGGGCCGGTCAGTCCGCTTCGCTGCCCCTCCGGGGGGACGTCTGTCGTTCGGATGTTTCCGCTGGTTCAGTTCTTGGGAGCTTGGTTAGAGCTTCCCTACCTGTCCCGCTGGGTCTTCTCCCCGCTTCAGGGGAGTCCGTTTACTTTGGTCGGTGGCAATGCCCCGATCATGATAGCGGAGGTTGCCACCCTGCTGGCGAAGGGTGCAATCGAGACTGTCCCTCCAGCCGAAATGAGGTCAGGGTTTTGCAGCCCGTACTTCATTGTCTCCAAGAAGACCGGTGGGTTACGGCCAATCCTGGATCTGCGCGTCTTGAGCCGCTCCCTTCACAGGCTGCCGTTCAGGATGCTCACGACCAAACGCATTTTCGAATGCGTGCAGCCACAGGATTGGTTTGCAGCGATAGACCTGAAGGACGCCTACTTTCATGTCTCCATTTTACCTCGACACAGACCGTTTCTTCGGTTTGCTTTCGAGGGGCAGGCATACCAGTACGCAGTTCTCCCATTCGGGTTGGCTCTGTCTCCTCACGTCTTTACGAAGGTCGTCGAGGCAGCCCTTGTTCCCCTGCGCGAACACGGGGTTCGCATCCTGAATTACCTCGACGACTGGCTAATATTAGCTCACTCTCGAGTCCAGGTTGTGAACACAGAGACCTAGTGCTCCGGCACCTAGCCCGTCTGGGCCTTCGGGTCAACTGGGAGAAGAGCAAACTTTGCCCCGTGCAGAGGATCTCTTTTCTCGGTATGGAGATAGACTCGGTCGCCATGTCCGCGCAGCTTACGAGCGAGCGCGCACACTCACTGCTGACTTGTCTTCGACAGTTCGAGGGCAAGAGTGTGGTCCCACTGAAACTTTTTCAGAGGCTCCTGGGGCATATGGCATCCGCAGCCGCGGCAACGCCACTCGGATTACTTCATATGAGACCGCTTCAGCTGTGGCTTCGCGATCGGGTCCCGAGGTGGGCATGGCATCGCGGTACGCTCAGAGTTCCAATAACTCCGACCTGCCGTCAGTCCTTCACCCCGTGGCGGAACCTCAGCTTTCTACGGGCTGGAGTTCCCCTAGAACGAGTTTCCAGGCATGTTGTTGTCTCCACAGATGCCTCTGCCACGGGCTGGGGCGCCATGTGCAATGGACATGCAGCCGCGGGCTCCTGGACAGGACCCCAGCTCCTCATGCATGTCAATTGCCTCGAGTTGCTG